ATGTTTATCTACAGATCAAGTATAATAATAGGAACATTGTATCATCCTTGAGAGAGTTTCGTCGTCTTGACTGTCATAACTGAAAGCGACACGCAGCTTGAATGCTGAATGGAGGATGACTGACAGCCGCAGCGGAGAGAAGAGTTTACGTGAACTTCAATTTAACGACTTAAATATTAATCTGTACCTCACATTAAACTATGGAACGGGTCTCAGAACACTTGAAATATAATGCATGGAAACCTTATGGTGCTTTATAATGTTTTTGTTCCTTTCGTGGGGCTTAACAATAACACAGTATAGTATACGCACAATATCGGATTTGGATCGGTCTCGTCTGACCGATACCCTGATCCAGCAGGAAGTGGCAGTATCGGACCGATACAGATACTGAATATCGGATCGGTGCATCCCTAGTTTAAATATTAACAGCCGAGATCACAAGGACCTACTTCCATTTGCAAATCAGTTTTATCTTTAAAATTTTTTTGTTTTATTTTGAAGTCAGTGTTACAAAGCTACTAAAGCTATTCAAGTCCACCAGCAAAGCAACATAACATAAGAAATAAACAAGGTGCTCAAAAATAACACATGCTTTGTGCTGTCTCTGACACGCTTAAGAGAACATCAACATAGTTATGTATGCTGAAGCTTGGCTTCTGGGAAACAAGCATCACAAAGAGTTATTTTCAACAGGACACTCGAAACCCAGTGGTGAATCAACATATTCCATGCTTTAGGGCATGGAATATTGCAGTAACTTTTTTTATGCTGCAATTTCCAAGTAGTCGATTTGTCAGTTTAATGCAACACTGCCACCTAGATGTAGCTCGTGTGACATGTTCAGATGTCAGCATTGAGGTTTTATCAGGTTTTCTGTCAACTGTTCCTGAGCATTTTTTCTGTATGTGCGTAATTTCATTTTCAAGGGATGCTAAATACCCCATAAAGTATGGTCAAAAATTCTGAACAGTTGCCATTTTTCCAATTGAATACATTTTCCATTACACATTATATTACCAGCAGTGGAAGTAAAACATCTGTTCCAGTGTTATTTTAGTATTATAGCATTTATTCATATTTTGAATTAGTTTTATTATTATATTTTCAGTTTTCATTTTACATCATAATATTTATTTGCTTTAATTTTGTCAAAATGCAAAATCTAAGGTTTGTTTTTAGGTTTAAAGGTTTAAAATAGTTCCAAACCTATATGAGTTTCTTTCTTCTGCTGAGCACAAAAGAAGATATTTTAACAATGCTGGTAACCAAACAGTTGACGGTAGCCATTGATTTCCATAGTAGGGGGAAAAAATACTATTGAAGTCATTGGCTACCGTGAACTTTTTAAGTTACCAACACTCTTCAAAATATCTTCTTCTGTGTTCAACAGAAGAAAGAAACTCTCACAGGTTTGGAACAAGTGGAGTAAGTAAATTTTCATTTTTCATCCCTTTAAATTAGCTTTTGAGTCAGATTTTCAATGTGATCTCAGACTTACGATACATATATATATATATATATATATATATATATATATATTAATGAACTGTACAGTACAGGAAACCCTGAAAATACATCAATAAATGTAATTTGAATTACAATATTTGCCTGTTTTATCATCTGCCTGGTCAAAATCCTGCACACCTCTCCTAATAAGTCACAAAATTCGAGCTATTATTCATGTCTGAAGCACAAATTGGGTTGTGAAAAAGTATAAACAACACTAACAGTGAGGTTTGCCTTAGCAAACACCGTTAATAAACACATAAGCATAAGAAACAGTGTAATCGGTACGGCTGTCTGCTAAAAAGCTTGCTTTTTAATTCATAGTGTGTTTTCAAACTTTAAAATCTATTGAGGACTAAACTATGTGCAAATTGTTTTGTCAGATCTATTGTTATTCAAAGTCAATCCACGAGAGGTTTTTAATGGTCCTCTCTGTTGCTGCTCTAATTCTTCCACAGAGATCAATAACCCACCCACCATGACTGATTCCACAACTTCTACAACAAATACACCATTTATAACGAGCCACGGCCTGACATTTCTCCTCAAGCAACAACATAAGGCCGTGATCCTCTTACTTTACAGGAATAGTTCGCCTAAAAATGAAAATCTGCCATGATTTACTCGTCCTCAAGCCTTTCCAAACATTTCTGAAAAATATCCTGGTTGTGGTTTTCTATATTTTAAGGGCGAAAGGGTAATTTTAAGGATTTAAAGATTTTGGCTAAAGACCTGAGAGGTCAAAACCTCATAGTTGCTGGATAAAAGATTCAAGAGAATCTTCAAAAACGTATAAATACTTACTGAAATTGTGAGCGATCTTTGAGTTCAACATGATTTCCATAGTACTGATGGACTCTGATCTGCAGACGCGGCCCCTCTCTCTCACTCCAAACAGCTCATACAAGCGCGAGGAGTCAATTTCAATCTTCCTGGGGTTCCTGCGAGACCACATTGACTTCTCGATCTGCAAATGCATATTCATATCAAGACATTGACTTGAATACAAGTGATCTTCAGCAGGCGTAAAAATGATCACATATTAGGAAACAGATTTAGCGCAACAACTATTTCACTGATGAGACAACCATGCTGCGTTTGCAATATGCAATGTTGAATTACTCTTTTTAGTGAATTCATAAGCAAACAACATCACACACACACCATGTAGGGGCTTTTTTTTCACCAAAAATAAAAATTGTCATTTGCATTTTAAATCCAATTTTTGTGTCAAACAGGGTTATTGTAGTTAACTACAACTAAAACTTGAAGCTAAAATTACAACTATAAAAAAAAACATTTTTATTACTTGAAATAATATATATATATATTTTTTTTTAATTATTATTATTATTTTTTTTTAAGCTAGTTTATATTGCAATAATATTTCAGAGTATTACTCTGTTTTACTGTATTTTTGATCATATAAAGGCAGCATTGGTGGGTACAAGATACTTTTTCAAATACATGCTCATAATTCATCATTTTAAATAATTAACTAGCAATTAATTTAGCAATTTTGATATTGTACAAATGCTTAATGGTATTTTATTAATGGTATTTTGATTGACCCAGGGTTATTATAGTTAACTACATCTAAAGCTAACACTATTGAAAAACGTTTTCGTTACTTTAAATAAAATAAACGTTGACCGAAATAAAATATACATTATATAAAAAAATTATAACTTCGCATTTTATTTCAAGTAGTTGCCAAAGCAACATTTCTCATTTCTATTTAATTTACTGTATGAAAATTTATATATATTAACGAAAACTGAAAATATTTACTAAAACTTTAAAAATTACAATGAAAATTATAAAAACTTTGAAAAATAAAAACTATATATATTATAGACATATTTAATAATAATAATAATAACAATAATAATAATAATAAAACACAACAAATGCTAAAAGGTTGCCTAAAATTAAAATGAAAACAGAAAATGTGAAAAATAAAAAATAATTAAACATATTCAAAATAACTATAATAGTATCTCAATGACACTGGTCTGACCAAAAATCTGCCACATCTGGAGCTCTTCCAAATATAAAACAGAACGCATAAGCTGATACCTTATCCTGAGCCACCAGGTCCCAGTGAAAAGCTTTTGTCCTCTCTGAAAGCGGCTTGGATTTCATGGGCAGCGGAGGGGGCAAAGGGGCAGGAGGGACAGGACCTGGCACTGCTGACGGCACAGGCAACGGTGGGGGCAAAACAAACGGAGCCGGTGATGAGCACGTGGCCACTGGTGAGGTCACGGGCACTGCTGAGGGCGTCCGGTCTGGCTTGCGCACAGCTCTGCTCTGTGCTGTAAGGGTTGGCTTCGGTTCTGCTTCTGATGCTTCCAGGGAAGCGGTTTCTGGCTCTGGTGCTGCTGGAAAAGCTGCAGGAACATTCGGGGATGTTTTGGGCAAGCGTGGTCTCAGTGAATGTGGCACCGGTGGAGGTGCAAGCGGCACGTGGTTGTCCTGTGTCTTACTTTCTGACTCTGTAACATCAGTGAGATCTTTTTCAGGGGCTTCATAGAAGTGTTCAAGATGTGACTTTCTTTTCCAGTCCACACATAGCTGTTTGATCGCTTTCACCCAGGCATCTCGCTCATTTGTTATGGCCTGTGGGGTTATGTGGTCACTTTTTGGTATTCGGAACCTGACAAAAAAAAAAAAAAAAAAGGGATGAGAAAAAATTTAAATAGATATGAGAACTGGCGAGAGAATCTGCCTGTTTGTCTCCCCTTGAATATGCTGCTGGGCTCTTATCAACAGACATTACATCTGAAATTTCCATTACAGTGCCAAAAATGGGATGTGGAACAACGAGACGCTTTTAGAACAGAACCGAAGTGATTAAAGCCACAATTTCTCCCTGTCACAATATGATTGGGGACAAGACTGCAAGTTGTCAGGACGACATTTCCTCTCCAGGGTCTTAAAAATAACTAGTCATTGGGCATTCTGGCAACAACAGCTTTGGTTTTCGGAACAAAAAAAAAAAAAAAAAAAAAAAAGAGTGTTGTTGAGAAACATTCGGCCTCACAATCATTTTCTCTTGACTATTACTTATTGAGAGGTCAAGATCAGTCACTGAAAGTGCACTCGACTCACACAAAGTCATTCTTGTTGTTGTGCAGTGTGAAGGTGTCTGTGTTGCAGGGGGTGTCCACCCTGACATTACCGTCGGAGAGATGGATGACAAGAGCTGCCCCATCACCCCCAGTACACCTGATATCATCCACACTGGCGTAAATCTCTGAGAAACTCCAGACAGACTCGCTGGAGGAAACAGACACACCTGCATCACTGCTGGAAGACTGCTGAGTGACTGGGAACAAGGTCAGCTGACCAGTCTGAAGATTAGCCTCGTATCTAAGAGTGAAGAACAAGAGTGAATGGACCTTATAAAGCACAGTAAAAACAGTAATATGGTGAAATGTTATTTTAATTTATATGAACTGCTTTCTATGTCAACCTATTTTAAAATGTAATTTATTCCTGTGATCAAATACGATCACAGGAATAAATAAAAAAATTAAAAAAAATTAAAAAATAAATAAAAAAAATTTTTTTATAAAAAAAATATTTTTTTTATAAACCGTCAAGCGGGTTATGACGAAAATAGCTTGTTATGATTATTACGGTAACCTGCAGGCAGTGCAAAAAGACAGCCTTTGAAGTGATTTTCTTTAGTCTTCAGCCATTCAGTCAATCAGAGAACTCTAAAGACTGTCATTTTCTTCTTAAGAAAAAAAAATTGAATGTTCTTAAGAACAATATTTGAGAACTTGAATTTTTCAAGGATTGCACTTAAGAACATTCTTACAAACTTCATATTTATCTTAAGAAATCTCTTAACTTCTTTCATTATAAGATTTTAGTGAATCCGGCCCCTAGTTCCTATTTATGAATCAATGTAAGCCTATTTATGAATTTTTTCACCTGTTTTTAGGTAAAATTAAAAAAAATTTAATATTATTTAGAAAAGTAGCATACTATAATTTAAAACTTATGGTTAGGAGTTTGTTAAAAAAGTTTGAGTCAGCAGAATGCCTGTCTTAGTGAGTAAGCACCACTAAAATGTTAACAAACATGGCCTAAAGATTATTTGAAAGTGATAAGATGTTTGTGACTTAAGTTCCAGTCTAACTAGTATAACGACTGCTAAGCACTAGTCTACAAGCAGACAAAACAGAGTTAAAAATGTGCATACGTCTTCCATTTGAATGATGCCAGTCCTCCTCTCTGCAGTAATAGGTGGCCCTCTTTGAGGTTGTCAGGAGTTGGAGGCAAGTGTGAAGTTTGCATTTCAACAGAGTTCCCGTTCACAAGAGGGCTGTATATGTTACTGTAGATGACCTGATTTACCAGCTGCATGATCTGAAGGTCATCAGAAACACAGTTTGATCTATTATCATCAAATACTCATAATAATAATGATTTAGAAAGGGCAGCAGATTTGCTATGTATTTAATTTAAAGAAATATTTTTTACTAGAAATGTACTCACCCTCAGGCCATCCAAGATACATGAGTTTATTTGTTCATCAGAACAGATTTGGAGAAATGTAGCATTACATCACTCGCTCACCAATGGACTTCTGCAGTGAATGGGTGCCGTCAGAATAAGAGTCCAAACAGCTGATATAAATAATCCACAAGTAATCCATATGACTCCAGTCCATCAATTAACATTCTATGAAGCGAAAAGCTGCATGTTTGTAAGAAACAAATCCACCATTAAGGCATTTTAAATTTAAACCACTGCTTTTGGCCAAAATATGAGTTGATAATCTATTATTTAGCTTTCTCCAGTGGAATAGTCTAGAAAATTTACCAACATCTATGTTTAGAACTGTTTTGGACTGTTGTCAGATATGCTTGATCTGTGCATATTTCTCTCCTGATTTAGACGGGATAACTTTTTCACTGGAAAAAATAACATTATGACAAAAGGACTTTTTGCTGGAAGCAACGGTTTGAAGTTGAGAAAAAAAAAAGCCTTAATAAAAGGATTTGTTTCTTACAAACATGCAGCTTTTCACTTCACAAAATGTTAATTGATGGACTGGAGTCGTATGGATTACTTGTGGATTATTTTTATCAGCTGTTTGGACTCTCATTCTGACGGCACCCATTCACTGCAGAGCATCCATTGGTGAGTTACATTTCTCCAAATCTGATGAAGAAACAAACTCATCTACATCTTGGATGGCCTGAGAGTGAGTAAATTAGCATTTTTGGGTGAACTATTCCTTTAATGCTCTGGTAGAGAATTGAAATTCAATCCCCGTAGCATGTGATGTTCTTACCTGCTGCTTGTCCTCTAAGGACGCAGCTTCCAGCTCATAGTCAGACCGATCTCTAAACGAAATCGAGAACCTGGTACCTGGTGCATCATGGCAGTTTTTCACCTCAGAAAAACAGAGCTGCCGTTTCACAATGCCTTTCTCAATGCTGCACAAAAGGCTTGTGCTGAAATCAATCTGAAGCAAAAAGGTGTGCATTTGTTATATGTGGTTTCTAAAGACCAGAGCTGTATAAAAGCAGTTCAGTGTGTAGATAGATACACACCTGCAACACCCGTTTCTGCCATATGTAGCGGTTGAACTTACGAACACTGAAGTTGTACTGTGACTGTTTTTCCTGCAACAGAGATATCAATGATAATGTTAAACAAAGAGTTCAAGAAATAACTAATAATACTTCCTCTTTGCAAAATGTCACTTTACAAAACTCGACTAGGACTGATTACAATCACCATAGAGAGCCGCTCATAATATTAGGGCTAGTACCACGAAGACTGGTTGAACAACAAATCATTTCCTTAAAAAGAACTGTCAAAACATTTCAAAGTTCTTAAGAAAAATATGTGACTAATTCAGTCCAGCTGTGCTCTGAATGACTTACACACCCATTTTGCTGACCTATTTTATGATTTAAAAAAAAAAAAAAAAAACTCAATAGAAAGACATATTTAAAATGTTGATAAGATCTTCAAATCTTCATTTAACATGAAGGTCAGGAGTTTTAAACATAGCCCATACTGCACCTCCAGCTCAAAGTTCCTCTGCTTGTGTAACGTGCCATTGTTAGCCCGAATCAGAACTTCATCGATACTCATTTTGCCTGATTTCACCCAGTTCATGACATTCAGCTGCATTTCGTTGCTAAGCTGTAGAAACAATACGAGTTTAAGTCAAGAGCTGTGATTATTCTTAAGACAAGCACATGCAGTCTCCATGCAACATTGTTTGGTAACAATTAACTCGCTTACAACAAACTGTTGAAATGAGGAAGTTTAACTTTTTTTATTATAGTTCACATCAGAATGATTTGTGGACACCAATTTATATGACACGTGGCTGCGCTTCTTGTAAATTTGAACTTTTTATTACACATTATAGACAGACAAGGTTTTTTTCTTTTGTTTAATGTCATCAGCTGTCAATCAGTGAGGGAGATTAAATGCACTAATTTGTTCATGAAAGTGAGAACACAGCTTATTTGTAACAAATTCACAACATTACATTCATTTACAGCCCATTCAAATGTTTTTGACGTTTGATACCCATTTTGTGTATTTAAATAAACAGTTTATTTAAAAGATTATCTGTTCTATTTCAACAAAGTTGTAGTTAAACAGACTTTTTTTTTTCCACTGAATACTTGCTTATTGTTATTAAGAAAGAAAAAAAAGTCAAGAAAAGGTCCTTACCTGAGGAACATGCACCGTCTTTCTGTAATCCATGCTTCTTCATTGGACTTCAGGAGATCAAAACATTTCAGATCACCCATCAAGTGTTGTCAAATAGTAAACTGACTGAGGATTGCAGACATCTGAAAAGGGATGCGTGTTTATGTGAGAGAAAACTAGGTATGCTTGTATGGCATGTAGATTTATTACTAGGTAACTTCCTTAAATGCGGCTTACCTGAAGGAAAAAAAAAACAGAAAAAGATGAAGTCATACACCTCCACCCTTTATCTGACTTTTCATCTTTCTGTGGGACACGCAATGTCCGTCCCTCAGTTGCAGAGTCAGAGTCATTCTCTGCTGTTGTCTCCATATATAGTTGGTTGTACTCTCAAATTTGACGAGTAAAATAAAACATGGATATCGGAATATGTCTCAAATTTGTAACACAATTCAACCGTTAGATGGCGTACAGCCGACACAAACTAATCACTACGGCGCTGCAGTCAAATACACTTTAAAGGGGTCATATGATGCGATTTCAATTTTTCCTTTCTCTTTGGAGTGTTACAAGCTCTTGGTGCATAAAGAAGATCTGTAAAATTGCAAAGACTAAAGTCTCAAATCCAAAGAGATATTCTTTATAAAAGTTAAGAGTCAGCCACACCTACCTAAAACGGCTCGTTCTAACACGCCCCAACATACCTACGTCACGATCTCGGAAGGATAGCTGGCCAATCAGAGCACACCTCACTTTTCAGACCAATGAGCTTTGTAAAAATCAACGTGTTTCAGAAAGGCGGGGCATAGAGGAGAAACAATAATGTACAGTATGTGGAAAATAATGTGTTTTTTTATCCTTAAACCGCATAAACACATTTAATTACACCAAATACACAAAACAATGTTCTTTTTAGCAACATCATATGACCCCTTTTAAATACGGTGGCCATATGTGCCATTTATACGGGACACGTCCTGGACAGGATTTTTATATTGCCTAAAACATCCAAAGTAGTTTGAACAATAACGTGAAGGTATTGTACATAATCGACCAATCGTGGCGCGTCGCGCGTGAGAAGGTGAGAACGATCAAAGCGATGAAATATGCGCACGTGTTTGTTCGTTGACACCAAAGTACCGCGAGAGCGATTTAAAAGCATAAGGAGCCGTCTGCTCTGCTCTCTATAGCTCTCGTGAAATAATGCCATACAACGATCGATCTGCATAGTGCAAACAGTCAAAACCTGAATATTTTAGGCAATATAGAAATCCTGGCAAGGGTGCGTCCCGTAAAAATGGCCCGTATGGTCACCCTAACTTTAAATAAAGTGCAAACGCAGCCTATAGTGTGATTATTAAAGTGGCATGATACTTACAACAAATTCAAATCAGTTACTGCATTTAAACAATCAGCATTGAAGCAAGCATTTCAGCTTAAATAGGCTACTGTAATGTTTAGAGCATGGAAGCCCAACCTGTTACTGTAAATACACAATTTAATTAAATAAATACTTTAAAAAAAACAAAAAAACAAGTTGAAGTCAAGAACAGTGTCTCATAGATCCTTCATGAGCCTAAATCCTTATTTCTCTCTCTGTCTCACTCTGAATTTTTTTCAGATCACAATTGTGAAATCAGCGATTAAACGTCAGATAATAATAATAATAATAATAATAATAAAAACATGTAATAGCCTAATGCAAATAAAACTGTAAACAGACACAGGCTTGTCTTTCTTCAATGATTTTATCAGCGGGCTGAAGATCTGCAGCGCCTCCTACTGTTTAGACCGAGAAGAGACTCGGAACTAGATTTATTGAGGATGAATCTCACTTTCATTTCTGTAAAAAGATCTGCTTTGTGACATGCAAAGGGACTGTCCTGGCCTGGGTCACACCGTCCGGAGCGAAGAACACTGTTATCTGTGAGTATTTTCTCTTTTTTGTGATTTTACCTACGGTTTCCTAAATTCGATATATATATATATATATTTTTACCTGTTTATAAACGTCTTAAAAAGTTGTTTTTTTAATTAAATTGTTATATCATGAAAATTAAACGAAATAAGTACTCACATATCTTACCTCGACAAACCAACAGATTCGCCTCAGGCAGACAGTCAGAAAGAATAACCGTTGAAATTTAAAAATCTGAGATTCCCGCTTCAGGATCGTGACGGTTGTCCAGGCAATTTGTAGTTGTGCATCGAGAGATATAGCTTAACTCGATATTTGCCACTGTAATAAAAAGGAACAAAATAAAACGACATATCTTCCAGAAGTTTCTTTCACTATGATTTTACATACTCTGTATAGGCTATGTTGCAGTGAATATTCATGAAAGTAGTGAAAGACTTTAGTGAAGGTTAATCTTTACCGAAGAAGAACCAAAGCCTCTATAAGCAAATATTAATTCAATGAAACTAGTGATCGCAGCTGATATTCAGGTAAGCCATATAATGCAAATGTAAGCGCCAATTCAAACTCTGAAATATCAGAATATTTCAAATATGTAATTTATTTGGCTGTAAAGCAAATTTCGAGATGTGTTGTCGAATGAATGATTGAATGAACAGTCCAATAAAAACATGTAAAATTACAGTAAATTATAACTGGTGTTTATTTTGTGGCTAGAAATATATTGTGGGCCAACTGTTTTATAAATAACAATTTTACCGTTTTGCTGTGTTATCGTTCATTATGAAAATGTTGTTGCAAAGACCTATACAGTTTCTGAATTAAAGTTTTCTTATATAGGACAGAGATGACAATCAAGTACTTTGACATAAATTGCTGTTTCTAGGCACTGCAGTATTTAATTTTAAAACATAAAGTTTATTTTTGTTTTGTTACCTTATTACCTTATCTATGACATGAATTTAAACACAAGCCCAGATATGACCGTGATTCGACTTTTGTTTTTACGAAAAGGAAAATGTACAAGTTAACACACAAGTTAGACCAGTTTACTATAATGAATGATAAGAAGTGTTGTTAGTAACTGTTGAAGTGTTGCCATACCTACTGTGGTATATTGTTGTTACAAAGCTGTACATGCCCATATCCGCTTATTACGTCGTGACGTAAGAAATGCTGTTTCCGGGTCCAAGCCTCAACTCGCTTCACTTAAGAATCTCAACAGCCGTTTATGAGCACTGTTTATTCATATTACACATTTAAGCTAAACATTAAAAAACTTACGGTGTACACTACAGTCTTCGTGCTCATAGCGTCCCAGACACAAATAATTTTTATATTTATTTATTTGTATTTTCATTGTCTGGCTATCTGGGATTTCGGTATGGAGTTAAAGGTTAGGATTATAATTTGTTTGTTAGTTTTATAGTACACTGTGAGTGTATATTAGCACCGTTTGTTGTTTTCGTGTGGCATCTCATAGAGCGTTTTCGACCCGGAAGCGGTGACGTATGACGTCAGACTTAACAAGTGGATAGCCAGCCAAAGCCCTGGCCATATCAGTAAACAGTATTAGCATTATCTACACTGTTCAGTTCAGCATTGTATAGGGTATATTGTTATTGTTTGCCTTTTCAGCCATGGCATCCTCCAGTGGTCCTCTAAATGAGGAGCTCCAGTGCTCCATCTGTCTGGATGTGTTCAATGATCCAGTCACCACTCCATGTGGACACAACTTCTGCAGAATCTGCCTGAACAAATGCTGGAAAACCAATCCAGGCTGTTTCTGCCCAATCTGTAATGAAAAATTCAGCAAAAGACCTCATCTCAAGATTAATACAACACTCAGAGAGGTTGTGCAACACTTTAAGGAGAAGCTTGAGCTAGGAAGATCTGATGTGTTCTGTGACATCTGTGATGAAAGAAAGCAGAAAGCCCTTAAGTCCTGCTTGATGTGTCAAAGCTCTTACTGTGAAACTCACCTGAAACCACATCACAGAGTCCCGCGTCTAAAGAAACACACACTGATCGATGCTGTGGAAAATCTGGAGCATTATATATGCCAGAAACACGAGAGACCATTGGAGTTGTTCTGCAGAGATGACCAGACGTGTGTGTGTCTGTCCTGCACCGAAGGAGACCACAGGAATCACAGCACTGTTCCTATAGAGGAGGAGAGTCAAGAGAAGAAGGCAAGAAATACAAACAAATACAAACACGATAAAATACCCCATGAAATGCAATGCGTGTTGACAGGTTGAAGATCTCACCCGTCTTTCATTCCATCTGCTAGAAGTTGATTTTGTCAGGTTTTTTCAAATACAAGTTACCCTTCAAACTGTCAGAAATGGATTAAAAGATACAAAAACACAATTTTGAATTCCTGGGGCCTTTAAATGTTTTTTTTAATTTTTTTTAATCAATATTCAAATAAGACTTTCTTGTCAGAAGACGTAAAGCTAATTTGAGAGATAAATGCTTCTGTGTTTTTCTGTTTGTAGAATCAGATCGTTAAGACACAGACATGTTTGCAGCAGATGATCCAGGACAGAATGAAGAAGATTCAAGCCTGTGTCTCTTTGTCTCGGAGAGAGACGCTTGAGAAGGTTGGTGTGTTTGTGGATTATGAGGAGGGTCTGGTCTCTTTTTATGACGTGGAGTCCAGCTCTCATATCTACTCTTTCACTGGCCAGTCTTTCACTGACAAACTCTATCCATTCCTCAGCCCATGTTATAATGATGAAGGTAAAAACTCAAGCCCACTGATCATTTCACCTGTCATTTCAAATAAATGAATATACATTCCAAACATGAAGCACTTGATCTGAAAGATTAAATATGCATATGTTGTTATTTAAAGGACAAGAAAAAGAAAAAATAAATGCATGCCAAGACAAAAAATGTGCCTGCTAAATTCAAAGTAACAAGGCTTTGAATCTAATATCCATGATCAAGATTATAAAACATTTCTAGTCAATCACATTAGATTTAAAACCCATGTGACTAATCTGGAGTCAGGTGAAAATGACATGTTGCGTCATGTCAACGTCATGAAATGTAAAAAATTTGTGCTACTTGTTACATGTCCGTGCTGCTTGTTACATGTCCCAAATAAAGACTAGTGGATCATTGATGTACAGTGATGATGAGGTCTGGTGTATGCAGTCTGAGGTTGAACTGTGTGGCCAGAATCTGTTTGGTCTGATTGGGAGCGCCCTGGTCCACCGGATAGTTCATGTACTCCTTATACTGCAGAGTCCAACGAAGAGACTTAGCTGAAGGGAGACAAGTGAACATGCCATTAATGACAATGAAAAAAAAAAAAAATTATAATAAATAATTGTTGATCATTTTGCATAGCAGTGCCTGTTCTGATTTAAAGCAACAGCTTTGTTTGGAAGAAATTAAAACTAAACTAACTTTTCACTACATAACATTTTTCTCTACTGGTTTTCCATTCTCGCTGCTCATAAGACTGACATATAGTAACCATTTGTCAAAAAAACTTTTCTCTTTTTAAATGTTGCACTATGAATATTTGTTCACCCCCACACCTGCTTTCAGTCATCCATCATTGCCATCATTTTCACTGCACATTTATATTCATGATGCAAACAACTACATTTTGGGCCATTGACTTTTTGCAATTTCACAAATGAATGGAAATTCAACCAATTCCTCAAACATTAGGTGCAATAGCTTGATTGTTTTGTGCTTTTTTCCCTCTAAAAAAAAAAAACTAAATTTATGGAAAACAGATCCAACATAAGCTAATGAAGATCCATGAATCCCAGGCCTCATCACCAAGTGATTTTTGACAAATGCAGCAACCAATTCAGACATTTTGGGACATAATAACCAGAAAAAAAGTCTCTGGTGGGACTGTTTGATAGTCAAACTCCACTCACTCTTTTGCAGTTTGAGGTCGAGAGGAATCCAGTTCTTTTTCAAGGTGGCTTTTAGCACTCCAGTGTAGTACATGACCATCACTTCATACAACAGACTAGCCGTGCGCTGCTTTGATCTTTTGTTCTTCAAGACGGTGGAGAGTTACAAGGTCCATGACGATCTAAACGTTCACGTCGGTGGGGGACAGATACAAAGTCTGCAATTTTAGGACAGTTTTAAATGCAGTTTATAACCCTGATTTTTGTGAATTTTGTCATTTTATGTTGATAAACATTAAAGGGTTAGTTCACCCAAAAATGAAAATTAGCCCATAAATTACTCACCCTCAAGGCATCCTAGGTGTATATTACTTTCTTCTTTCAGACGAATCCAGTCGGAGTTATATTAAAAATTGTCTTTGATCTTTCAAGCTGTTTAATGCCACTCAGTGGGTGTTGCATGCATCCGTCCAAAAGAAGTTAAATAAAAAACGCCCATCCATAAAAAAGACCGTTGTTTTGTTTTGATCTCTCCCCTGCGCTTCCGCATTCGTCACTTCTGAGCGGTGCAAAGCTGACCTAATACGTCATCCTCCCGGAGCTGCTTCCGTGTACAACAGTGAGCGCAAGCTAGATTAAATTGATTATTACTAGGGTTGGGTATCGTTTGGGTTTTTTTCGATACCGGTGTCAAATCGATACTTTTAAAACAGTTCCGGTGCCTGAACCGATACTTATTAAAGAATAGAGAAAGAATAGAGATTGCTAGTGTTAGAGGCTCTTTTTCTTTATAAATAAAACAAGTAGTTAGAATAGAAATAGAATAGAGAGTGCAAATGTTAGAGGATCAAGTTTTTTAATAAAAAAAAAACAAGCAGGTAAAATTAGAAGTAGCATTAGAATAGAGAAAATATTGAGTAGAGGGTTGCTTGGATTGAGCTGGGCAGGTCATTCCACCAGGAGGGAACAGTTAATGTAGAAGTCCATGAAAGTTTTATCAAAGGTAGAATGCAAAATGTTTCAATACAAGCATTTCAGTCAAATTTAATTTATGGAATATTTCAAACCTTTAACCCACTTGGGAAAATCAACCCATGGCAACAGTTTAAAAGTAGCCCAATTCTGTGGAAAAAACCGCGGACTTGGTAACCCTGCATCCAACAAGAGCTACCGGAGTCAGCTTTGACTGATCACAGGTCGAGAATAAGGAGAGATGACTGACAAGACCATCCTGGAGTATACGCTCAACAGATCCTGAGCTCATTGACAAATATCTGATCTTGTAAGATGTGCTCCCTATACACAGTGTGCGTGTGATCGCGAAATCGAAAGTGAAAGTAAACAGCGCAAACGCTCATTCAAAAATATTTAAATACACCGCATCCTGAGAGCGGCTCCCTGATACGCCAAAATTATATACAATATTAGAATGTTTAAAGAAGTGGACACGAAAATCGCGGGAGCGAAACACATGTTGCGGGAGCAGGCGGCAATGGCCAGAGATTCAGCGGGAGTGGGATTAAGAAAACAGCCGAATACCGGACATTTTTAGAAATTTTAGACAATTAAGAAATCCCGGCCGGACGCATTTTTGTAGGTCCAAAAAGAGGACATGTCCGGCGAAAAGAGGACATATGGTCACCCTAATCTATTGCTAATCGATGTATTCTTTTTAAAGTAGCATATGGAACATATTTTCTGCCTCATTCTGTGACAAGAAGCCTCA